CATTCCCGAGCTGGATCTGCTCCCCACTGCCTTGCGGGTCAGGCTATTGAGCCAAAGGCTCCGGGTGGAGTCCCTCAAGCAAAACTCCGAAGCACATCCGCCCCCTCGCGTGCGATTGCTCACCAATGCAATCGCATGGCTGCGCGCAAAGCACTTAGCATCGGGTGCTGGGACGTGCGCACACTACTGGACCGGAACTCCAGCGAGTGCACGGAGCGACGTACTGCACTCGTCACGATGGAACTGGCACGCTACCACATGGATATTGCGGCGCTCAGTGAAACTCGGATCGCTGAGCAAGGTAAGTTGCATGAAGCAAGTGTTGCCTACACATTCTACTGGGTGGGGAACGCCGCCACAGCACCACGTGAACATGGGATCGGCTTTGCAACATCCGATCGCCCCCATGACCACCTCGTAAGTGAACCAACAGGCATCAATGCGCGATTGATGACTGTTCACCTACGACTCGGAAGAGGTAAGTTTGCTACCTTTTATAAGCATGTGAGGTTTGACTATGTGTTATCTTTTTGACAGGCGTCATCAGTTCCACCCACAGTTGCCCTCTTTGCTACGGTCTGTGCCGAGCAGCGCCCTACTATTTCTGCTGGGTGCTTTCCAAGCGCGCGTTGGGCGTGATGCATCGGTGTGGACAGATATCCTCGGTCCGCATGGCATTTGTTCAGCCAATGCAAACGGTGACAGGCTGCTCTCATTGTGTGCCACTCACGGCCTGACGATCACGAGTGCAAGTGATATGGCAACTTGGACGCATCCACCGGGTGGTCACGTGCACCTGCTCGACTATGTCATCGTACGCCAGCGTAAAATGCCTGAAGTGTGCACGACACGTGTACTGCGTGAAGCTGAGTGTGGCACTGATCACAAATTGCCGCAGACCAAACTGTACATATATTTTCGTAAATCTACGTATTGGACTCCCGCCGTGAAACGGCGTAAATTTAAAATTCTCTCCCTCGCTATTGTGGAGAAACGTATTGAGCTGAAGAAGGTGGTGGCTGCACGCCTGTGTGATGTGGACTGAATAGCCACAGTGGGCGACCTGTGGCACCACATTCGCGATCAGATGACAGTCGCTGCCGAGGAGACCATCGGCCGCGCAAACTGTTATCGGCCTGATTGGTTTGATGAGAAAAATGCGACCACTGGCGCATTAGTGTATGAGAAGAATGCAGCATTTGCTGCACATGTGGCAGACCCTAGTGACTTGTGGAAGAAGAGTCAGCTTCACAAACTTCGACGGCGACTGCCCAAAGAGCTCCGTCGCATTAAAATGCATGGTGGACAGAGAAGGCGAGGCAGATGGAATGGTATGCCGAAAGCCGCCAACACAAGGAATTCTTTTGATTCCCTGAAGGCGATGTATGGACCGAGATTAGAGCCGCTAAGAACGCCGATCGATGGTTGCTTAGGCGCCACCTGCACACAGATTGCAGACATAATGCAGATCTGGCAAAAACCCTTTGGCTGTCTCTTGATCAACCGTTCAGCGATCGACTGGCCTACTTTGAACACCCTCAAGCAGCACCGTGCAAAGGCGAGTCTGGCGGACACGCCGATACTGGATGAGACGCAGAGAGTACTTGCTCAGCTGCGAAACGGCAAGTGTACTTATGCCGACAGGATCCCGCCTGAAGTATTGAAACACGGCGGATTCGCGTTGTTGACTGCGCTGCACCACTTGGTGCACCGCGTATGGATTGAGGAGGAGGTGCCTCCTGAGCTGAAGGATGCCCTTGTGCTATCACTGTACAAGGGCAAAGGGAGCAAGCAATGTTGCATGAATTATCATGGTATCAACTTGCTGAGTTGTGTGGGCAAGGTGATTGCCCGAATCCTGCTCAACCGCCTCGTCAGTAAGGTTGTGGAACCTAACGTGGCGAAAGAGCAGTGTGGATTCTGTTCAGGTCGCAGCACTATGGATATGGTGATTGCGGCTCGTCAGTTGCAGGAGAAGTGCAGAGAAAGACACCAGCCGTTGTACTCGCTTTTTGTTGATTTCCCCAAGGCATTTGACAAGGTGAACCTCGAGGCATTGTGGCTGGTGTTGGGTAAGTTTGGTTGTCTGCGTAAGTTTGTACGTCTAATTGAATGTCTGCACAGTGGTATGCGAGCGAGGGTGCAGCTGAGTGGAGAGACCTAGGAGGACTTTACAGTTGTTTCTGGTGTGAAGCAATGCTGTGTCTTAGCTCCTGCCCAGTTTAATATATATCTTCATGCAACGTTGTCATGTGCTTTTGATGCCGCTTGTGCTTACGGTGTTCGTGTGGAGCATCGTATTGATGGTGGGTTGCTGAACATCCGTCGTTTCGTTGCGGGAACCCTAGTCTGTGAGACAACTATCCATAGGTTGCTGTTTGCTGACGACTGTGCGTTGTTTACACACAGCGCGATGAGTTGCAGCACATGACTAATGCTCTGGCTTCAACAGCGGCCAAATTCGGGCTCACCGTCAACACAAGCAAAACTGTCTATCGCTTTCAGCCTTCACAGGAGATGCAATCTACAATGGTGCCGCGAATAAGCACTGCTGCTGAAGTATTGGAAACCACCTCCCGTTTCAGCTACCCTGGGAGTGTGATGTCGACTGACCAGCAGATAGTGACATGCGTATCCGAGTATCAAAGGCAGCAGGGGTATTCGGGAAGCTTGAATACCGAGTGTGGAACAAAAAGCAGCTTACCGTTGACACGAAACCGATGGTATACAAATACATGGTAGTGAAACATGGACTATGCACCGGCGGGATGTGCGATATCTCGAGCGGTTCCACTAACAGTGTCTGCGACGGATTCTGCGCATCGGTTGTTGCGACAGAATTACAGACACGGAAGTGTTGCGTCGAAGTGGAATGTATGCAATGGACTGCATACTTTTGCTGAGACATTTGAGGTGGCTCGATCATGTGTGGCATACGAATTCGACGCGGATACCGAAACAACTATTATATGGTCAGCTGAGTATTGGGAAGCGGCATGTGGGGAAACCAAAGTTACGTTACAAGGAGATGATCAAAGTGAGTTTCTCACGTTCTCATCTTGATTGCAGATCATGGGAATCGAAGGCGGTTGGTCGGCGTGCATAGCGCGATCTAATCATGAAGGCAGTTGCCGAAGTGCGGGAGAAAGACCTCGTACATGGAGAGAAGAAGCGGCAATTGCGAAAGTGGCAAGCACCGATGGGTTGTACTCCATCGACATCGAGCGCATGGTGCTGTAGCACATGCGGTCGCGAGTGCCTGAGTCAGGCAGGCTTAGTGAGCCATGAGCGAGGCCACTCGGGACCACTACCGAAGCGACGACAGACCCTGCAGAGAACGTAGGCAGAACCGGCGCAGCGTTTGTAGGTACGTTGAATGCGACTTTCTAACCGCGTGCTTGCATGCTAATTCTTTTTATTTCACGTAGTTGGTTTGCAATTTCGTCCTTATAATTTCTTTCTCAGAATAATGTCTACCTGTACTATCTATAAACTTGCACACGTCGCTTAAGCTAATTGTAGATAAGTTCGATAACATTTTCGCGTTTGTGTCATTTTCTTAAAAGTTATTCTCTTACCGCTTGAACTTATCGCGGATTCGTTCGTAAGCAATTTATTTTATGCGCCTATTTAGTGAAGATTTATGCCACTGTATCTGTATGCATTATCCGATATATTTTATTTCATCTTGTCGTTTCAAGTGTTTGGCTGTTGCTGTATATCCCAGGTGTGGCTCCACTTTATGTGCATGTTGACAAAGTGCCTACCTGTCTATTACCCACTGCCTCGTTCATACTGGCTCCAGGAGACAGTTGGTCGTTGCTGGAGGGAACGGGGTGCACGGTCCTTGTGGCCGTGCTGAGCTCGAAGAGTGGTTCCATGCACTCAGTGTGGAGCGGACTACGGTCCAGCCACCGGTTTGTGTGCGCTTGATCCCCAAATACTGCGTGCTTGTGTTTGCCTGTGAACGAGTGTGGGCCGGCTCGATTGATGAAACGTGGCTCCCATCCACATGTCTCCCGGTCTTATTCCTTCGGGTTTACACTGAATATGGGGTGTGTTGATGGGACTGTGGGTGGTGGAATGCAAGCCACCCATTGTCCGGCTGTAGGCGCGGGCGCCTTGTAACTGTTTTACTTGACACAGAGGTAGGGGAGCGGAAGGTTCTTACCCTTATATTAAGATGACAACAAATGTAGCATTTGGGTGATCAGGCAAGTAAGAATCCTGGGAAAGTGGGAAGCACGACTCTAGCGCCAGCACAGCTTATAGACATGGAAGAATTAGTACTAGAACTTGACTCACCTGGGGTGTTACTTCGCTCGAACCACTTGGCAACAAACTGCGCAGTAAACTGGACAGTATATTGCGTTCTTTCTCAAACGGGTGCAGCCAAGAGAAAATTATTGACGAATTTTAGGTCATAACGGGCTTGTCGTACCTGATCCCCAAACTGGACTACACAGGAACGTTTAGCTCTCAGCTGAACGCTTCAGTCACCGAATTGCTTTGTGAGTAGTCCAGAAACGAAACTGGGAACCTTAAATAGACGGTATTATTTGTTCACTTGGAACGCTTACTTACACATACCAATCTACTGATCAAGGAATGCATGAGTACAACTTTATATTTCCCCTAGGGTTTGATGCCGCAGTGCTTAGATATCTTAACTGAATTTTCTTTGAAGTTACTCCGATTCACCTTAGCGTCGTATGAAGAATTGCTAACCTGAGATTAGACGTAGCATGTTCCTGTAAAGATAGATCGTGTGCAACCCGGAGACAAATATTTTCGCGACCAATGGAAAGCGCAACAACTCAGCTACCTTATGGAAAACAAGACCGAGCCAATGGAAAAGGCATATAAGTCATGAAATAAACCCGTGAATCATTTGGACCTAATGGAAGCTTGGTGGGGTTGCACGTGCACTTAAACTGGACCGTCATATAAAATAGTGATCACTAGCAGAATGGTGGACAATAGATAAAGTTTCAACTTACCGTGTTAAACGCTGTGAGGCCTGTTTGTTCTATGAAAGCAAATCGAAACATCGGTTTCAGTTGGTACAAATATTTTAGAGAAATAGTGAAACAAGAACGTAGAACTGAAACTCATCACGAACCGAGATGTCTGTGACAGATTTTTGCATGCACCCACATTGAGTTGTGGATGTTGGAGGTTGAGCTGAAGAGAGACGGAGGATTATTGGGGGATGTCTGTTAGCGACGACACATCGCTTACGCTGACCATGATTCATCCGACTGGAGCCCCTCGTTGGATCCATAGGCACACTACTAATGAAAGTTTTGACGTGAATATCGTCCCGGTTGCTCTGAGCAGCGCGTTTCACTAAATGAATTCCTTTGGTAGAGGACCGTGCGCACCTCTTGGACTTTAATACAGGACCGACAGCGTCAGCGTCAACAACTGTGGCTGGGGCGATGTCACTGAGTTGTGAGATAAGTTCATTCGGTAATGGTCCATTAGTGTCCTGAGGCAGAACTGGGGGTACCGGTTTTGAAATATCTGGTTTACTGGTGTAGAATCTGCTTGGCGCTTGAACAGTGGAAGTCAGCATTTTCTCCGGCTCTTCACTTGTGGGATGATCAATAGCGTGTACAGAGGTCACCCATGGTCTAACTGGGTTATCCGACGTTCGAGTAATGTCGTATGAAACCCATTCATGATTGCTTCCCTCTAGCCTGTCAGGATCATGTCGTTCTCCCCCAATACTCATTTCCTTGGAAGCCTTTGGAGTAATCGGAGGTCTTTCGACAAGGAATGTTGTTTCGGATTCAAGCGTTCCATCGTCCTTGATCGTAAGTAACGGCGGTGGACTTTCGTCCTCCAAATTAACCAGGTACATAAATGAAAACTGTGACCTATTAAGATCTCCATTTCCTAGGATATCTACATTAACTTCCGAGCCATATGGGTGCCTATATTCACGCTCCAGTGACGGTAGAAAAGTTTCTTGGTTTCTTCTATCTGTCTCTGAAGAATAAAGAGTGGATAGAGCGGAGTCAGTTGGAACACCAAAAGTTATCGAATCTCGTTGTGTTGCACTGTGCTCTTTGTGTGTACGGCTAGGAACTTGAATGTTATCCCGCCAGTTTGAACAGGCTATACGATCTTGACTGCTTCTTGAGTCCAGTGAATTTTGAGGCGGACAGAACACGCCACTATGGTCATCCTGACTGGGATTACGAGGTGTTTGGATCATGGGATCGTAGGACAATTTCGTCCCTTGGTGCCAAGCTGGTATATACGGAACACCGGCCTGAGATTGCAAAACACTTGCAGAAGTCTGCGAATTTAAGAGGTCATCGGGAAACAGTGGTTCTGAGCGGTACGCTGCTATTCGACTGCAGTTTTCTGACAAACTAGGGCTCAAAAGCTGATTGTGGAGAGCGCCCGAATTCCTTTTCGGATCGGAAGATGACATTTCGAGGACCCTAGCGGTAGAATTGCTTAGGGTTTGGGGTAGTACTTTAGGTGGATACTCGGATGGTCCCGAAACTGGCTCACGATAAAACCCTTGCTGCGTGGTTGTAGTACTTGTATGCTGGAGGTGAAGCTGCCTAGTAGTGTTGGGTGTTTTATGCTGGTGATTTGATAAAGGGTCCATTTTTCCTTCCACTACCACTTCACTTTGCAGAGGATAGCTTAACTCAGGAGGGAAATCGTTCGTTACTGATAACTCCCTGCTGTCGGTGGGTTGTGGGATCTCTCGTACCACAGCAGATAGGGCACGGGCCCCTAATACGTTGAAATGAGTTGTCCCATCTTCTGTCGGTTGCGGCACTGATGAACGGAAGGGTCTTGAAAAAGAGCTTCTCGCTACACTGAAACTGCCAGAGTGAGTAAGTTGGAGGTCGCACGTGGTATACATATTTGGACAGGCTGGCTGCTTGAGAGATGGGTATTCGTCCGCCAGTAAGTGAGGATTACTTTCTCGGGTTACATGATACTTCTGAACAATAAGGTTTCCCAGGTTTTCCTTTTGTTCCAGGAACTGCCTTGATTGAGGAAAAGGTACATCGGAATAAAAGCCGTTTCTCACCTGCAGAGGGTGAAGCTTCGACCGCGTGTCCGTCGCTGATTCAGCCGACAAATTAAGTCTTGCGTTGATTAACCTATCTGAAACACCTTCTTCTGAGTGTGTTATATTACCTGGCCGAAGCCTAACAGCTGATGTACAGACTGCATGTTGTCTGGAAAAACGATGAGGAACAACAGATGAACGGGAAAAGAGTGATTTCTGGTTCCCCACCAAGCTATTCTTCTTTGAAGCTGCTAACTCTTCCCAGTTCTCCAACAAAGAGCAAGTGCTTCGTTTTAGAGTCGATTTATCGTGACCATCGATTTTTTGGAGAAGAGGACCAAATTGTGCATGTTCGAAACTTAAGTCTGCCGAAGGTGACCCAATTTGAGCTGTCTTCGCGCTAGAAGTTAACGTACAAGCACAATTTCCGAACGTTGATGAGTGCAGGTAAGCTACGGTGTTTGGTGCGTTAGCATAAGAAACACAAAATTTGCAATGTTTTGCTGTAGGCCCTTCCATCGCGGACGGTGTGTCCAGGCAAGGACAAGGCGCAATATGTTGATAACGAATCGGATGTAGTGTTAATCTATCATCCTGTTCCGGTAGAATCGACGGAGGAATGGAAAAAAGTTTGGCAACCTCAGTTTTTATAGGCTCACAATTCAGTGCCGTGTGCAATGTAACTGAGGGGACTGGATTGGGTTTAACACTGATTGTTAGACAGCCAATGTTCTTCAACGCTTCGACTTGCACTTCCCGTACTAACATGTCTGTAATTGAGGCAGTAACCATCTTCGTAGGCGTTTTCAGCTCGCACGCCTCGCCAATATTTAGAGGTTGACAATCCGCACATCGGCAGCGACCCCCTTCAAAGACAGACACAATTGCTTTGGCATTGCTCGATGCAGCTGCATTGGTGTGTGTCCGCATGGAAGCAGAAAATTCATGATTGCCCATTTGCCAAGGACATTTTGGATCTTTGACGGTGTAAAACAGATGCCAAACTTCATGTAGTAGGTCATTAAGTTTGGTTGCATCAGACATTCTGTAATGTTCGAGGCTCCAATCTTTGTCGCAAAGAAAACATGGTAATAATGGAGATTTGCACAAGTACCCAGCGATTGCAGGATTTGCACTGTCATCTGAAGAATTGAAATATGAAGGACGTAGACACATTGGTCGGAATGAAGGTGAGCCTGATGTGGGCTTAGACCCAAGGTAGGATTTTGGTTGCTCTTGATGAGTGGGTTTCGCCGTTACCCTTGTTTGCGGCAATAAAAGCTCGCATTGACAGTAAGGTAAACTATTATCATCTGCGTGTTCTCGTTCCGTAGTAGGACAGACTCGTACTGGAGACGCGATTGTTGCACACATCCGAGCAGGTTTGAAGTTGTTCACCCTCGGTTTAGGTTGTTCTTCCAAGCAAATATCAGGATAGCGGTTCTGCATGTACAGAATCAGTAAAAATGATAAAGCTCCTTAGCTATGATCCACATTCATCCATCATCATTGCATGGAATATTGGAAGTATAACCTTGTTAGAAATGAGCCCATGGGTGGCATAAAGACAGGAATCAAGGACGGATAACTGTACTGACTATTACGTAAGTTAACCGTAGGAATAAAAGTACCAGTTCAGAGTAGGATCCGATGTTGTCCGCTACTGATGCTACACTACTGGACTGATTTTGCTGTGCTTTGTATTGCAGTACAAAAAGGGGGCTCAGACGCCGAGATGATGAACAGTGAACAGTAACTTTATGCGGATGAAGAAACCCTACTTTTCAAACCCCATTGGGTGGACTGGTAGCTTTATCGACAACCGTTTAGCAAGAAAAATAATAATACTTTTACTATCAAAAGAAAGGACTTAGCGTTTATAATGCAGCAGTATTGCACGCTGCGTAGATCCACAGCATAACTAGACGGCAGGTAATACATCCAAAGTATTTCCCAAGACGGGGCGATATTGCTACGTAAGAAAATGTAAGTGGCTGGGTGCGTCATCCAATTTTCTTTTAAATACGGATAGTGAAGGTGCAGAATGCGACTGATACGAGACAGCGTTCCCTGGGTGACATACACCTTCCTCGCCGCATTGCCACGTATCACGTGATTCATTTAGCACAACAACTGGAAGTTTACAGACAGGTTTTGTTGTATCAGTTGTGTTTGTGTATGCCTCTGTGCATCTAATTCCAATTCGAACCAGTGCAAAACTGGCCGGCCCGTAGCCTTAAGGACTATAAGCCTGCCGTGCAATGTGAGGGCGCGGGTTTGAGCCCGCATAAGGACCTGGCGACTCTCGCAATTAGACTGACAGGAATGCAGTTGCTGCGCATTTGAAAGAGTGTGGGCCGGCTCCGTTGATGAAACATGGCACCTATTCACATGCCTTCCGGTCTTATTCCTTCGGGTTTACACTGGATATGGGGTGTGTGGTTGGAGTTGTGGGTGGTGCAGTGCAAGCCACCCATGGCCCCTGATTAGGCACAGCTATCCTGTGACTGTCGTGACTGTAGCAGCAGTGACAGGCAAATCCGGAACCGGATGTTGCCAAACGTGTAAGTGACCGAGATTAACTGCAGGGCATTTCGCGGTCCAAGTCAGATCGTGTGCCGTAGTCCGTGCACATGACAGGTACCTCAAAAGAACCAGATAATTATGAAGATGGAGACAGTATCACAGGCCCGAAAACCCAGCGCTGCACGAGCGGTTTCAAACTTGCCTCACCTCATCCGGTAGAGGTAGCAGGCTTTGAACCCAGGACTAGCATGATGGCAACCAAATCCTCTACCCCTTTAGCAGCCGAGTCAAGACGCTTGTCACGACGGTTATTGACTAAGTGAAGAGGCCTTCTAAAGCACTCGAAATAAAAAGGTTCAATTCAGTGCAAATCGCGGTCCACATTGAGACTGCGCATCCTAATCCATTCACACAATGATATGTTCGAATAAGGTCAAAAATGTGAATTGCAACCAAGTACTCAATCTGTGCTATTGGCTAATATGGTCACACTCTGAAGTTTAGACACTTGGTTTAACTCTAAGCAGAAGTTTTCAAATTAGACCATGAAGAATAGTACATATCCACTGAACATCAGGTCACCACTGCTGCGAAGTAAATCTTCGTTTACTTTATCATGCAATCAGCGAAAATCAGTTTTCTCCCCCTCCCAAAAAGAGAACACAAAGAGATAAAAGATCCACAGTAATAAGTGAACAAAAAAATCAAAAATGTTCCTCACTTGCTGTAAACAGGCACATTTGGTTACCACAGCTTTCTGAATCGAGATGGTGGTGGTGAATTTCATGCAAACTGGGGATACCTAAAATGAACAGGTAGAATACCACAGCAACCTGTGAGATCCTCAAAACGTATTCCGAAATATCTGAAACATATTTTTAAGAAAAGCAGTCTCAGCTGCACTCGGAAAGTTCCTCAAGTTCAATGTAAAGCATTTCCGTCCAGTAATTCAGACGGCTTTTGGACCATTTTACTTTATTTAATAACGTTTATCCCTCACAAACAATGCTTACCCTATCATGGTTACATGCGTTGCGGCACCTTCGGGTTTAGGTCACAGTATGATATCTATCTAAAGGGTTCCGCTGGGTGTTTGCAGAGTTTTATAAATATCTAGCCTGCGACAGGCCGCAGTACTGCACCATCATAAGTACGCACGTTACTTAGAGGGGGAAAGCACCTCAGCTACTGTGACTTGATACATAAGGAGAAAACATGCAACAGAGGAACCCCGGCTGAGCCAGCACTAACGGATGGGCATCGTTCCGGAGGGCTAGCGGTCGGCTATAATGCCGCAAAAGGGTTATATTATGTCTAGGAAATGAGATCATGGTTGGAGGGGGAAACCAAGCGGGGAGTGAGAGACAAAGAAACAACACAAGCGCCACTTAGGTCGGATCTTAACTGTGTCAACAAACAAACGTGTTTCCCGTCTTTCGGATCCCAACCAGGGGTCTGACAGGCTTCAACCGAGGCCAAGTTCGAACTAAGGACCTTCTTTCCTCTTGACTAAGTTATCGCTTGGTCATTCTTCTTCTTCCATGCACACTCCTTGCGCGCAAACAAAGCACGTCGCGAGGGTCGGAATGCTGGAATGCACAAAACGTGGCCCAGCCACCGCAGCAATGCGCGCAAGTTTCATTAACATTCGACCTTAGCACTAAACTAAAGTGCTGTGAAAAGTTATATCTAAGATTCTTCAAATTAGTCCACTGATATTCAACATTAATTGAATGCTTCTCTATAATTAGCGATCTTTTTTAGTAGATAGTATTTTAATCCCATTGTGTCAATGGACTGGGTAATTACTGTAAACAGAGCGTAGAAATTAATGCACAATGAATTACTTTGACTTTGAATGAAATTTGTCTTCAAACAAGGATAACACGGAGCCCGATGTCATCAACTGTTGAATGCGCATGATTGGGTATGAAACCGCGACAGTGGAATTGATCCTGCTGCCCTTGTTAAACTACTTCACTTGAGTCTAAGTGTTGTTCACAAGGCAGCCCTACTGTTGTCATGCCTCCATCACCCCAGAGTTATCAGTGACTTTCATTTCCAAGTAAAACAGGTGCCTTACTATTGCTCATGGCTATTTTCGGACAATACATTATTTTATTCATCTGAAAACGTCACACTGTTTGGTTACTCAAAACCCCAATTAGATCAGTAACCGTTAAGATGGAATTTTCTTCGTTTCTGGATAGAAGTTTTCTGCTCGAATTATTTATAGATTTGTGCAAATATCTTTATAATTCTAAACCGACACTTTTGTATAATATTCTGTTTAACATAGCTTTTAACGTGCACGTAGGTTTTCCTTGCAAAATATTCTAGTATTAGTAGAGAACGATACTACAGAGTATTCCGGCCTCAATTATTTCGCATATTCCCCTCAGCCTCTTACCTACCAGTTGTGGAAACAAGAAGTAGCACCGGATTACTTGAAGAATCTCGAGTAAGTATTGAGATACTTTAATTTTTAAGGCAGCAGTTGTGTTTTCCCGAGCGGAGTGTTCCACCAGTTATGCTTCGATAGCTAAAGGCTCTAAAGATTCTAGAGGGTGGCACTCAAACAGGTTATCGGAGCACACAGAATCAAGACGCCGAGAGCATTCGGGGGCATAAAATGCATTATGAATAATCAAGGTAAATCGGTTCGTTCTTTCCTGTTTGTTTTATCGACAGTTCACCTTAAATTGGAAATCTTAAACTGTAATTCATCGTGCGTAGAAACAAAATACCAGGCAGTACCAGACTTGTTCTATTGCTGACGGGCACCCTACATCTGTTTCACACAAACTATGCTAAATAAAAAAACGAGTTATGAACACTGAATGATGGCAAACTCGATTCCTCCATAGAATTGTAGTATATGGCATGAGAAGGCAAATACATTTCCTGTTTGGAAAATTCCTCAGCTTTGGAAAGAGAGGGTAGGACACTTACATTATTTCGTTCAATGCCAGAAACGGTTATCACAAGTGAAGATAATACATATTTTAACTACAAGTGGAAACAAGACAATTTTTGTCGCGCTATGCGGGGTTCAGAATACTACTTGAATGATTAAAAGCACACTTTCCAGCTGTTGATTAAACATACATCAATTATGGTGGCATGTGCCATGCACACATCTTGCTATAGGCACCTGAAGAAAGCAGTTCTAATAAACTGTGCCTGATAAGACTATCTAAAGCAGCAACATTAAGCATTTGCCGTTAATGCCAAACTGAAAACATTATTTAAAAATTGTTTGAGTTTATCTAGTACATAGCAAATAGATTGCAAGCCAGGTAGGTCAAATAGCGTTCCGACAAAGCATCAGGTGGTCGTTTCGTTTTCTTACGAATCGTCAGTGGTGTGCATTTATTCGGTGCAGCTCAGGGGACCGAATCTATGACCGTTAACGGCTTGAACCACTGGAAACAGCTTTTGCCTCCGAGCCATGGGGGATTATAGCTGACCATTATGAAATGATAAGTAACTGCGATATAGCACGGCGTATCCTCCAATGCCAAGCATATTACTGCACGTGCGGTGGACAGCCGTTGGACTTAAATTGTCAGACCTTCCTCACCAGTGGGCGGGGCATTTAAATGGGTCTCTGACTTTCCACCGGAATATCGCTCTTACCATTTTCGCTGCGGAGTTATCAGTTTTCACTAACCTATTTGAGATGTTTTTCATTGGTACTAACTACAAGCTCATTGGTACTGTCCATAACCGGTATTTGAACATGGAGATTGAGAAAAAGGGCAAAGTTTTCAACAGGCAGCTTGCAACATAATTATCTTCGTCCGGATCGATAGGCTAGACTGTGATACTGTGCCATGAACCGGATATAGATTCCGTGCCGTTTAATCGAGTGACGTACGTATTCTTAATAGCATTAATTTCAGTTGCAAAATTTTGTATTTTCAGTGTTTAGTAACATCCGCATTGGCTGTTGGGAAATGCTGAAAATGCACCCGCTTGGGAACCTTAGCATATCATCATCATACACGTTAGCTAGAGGTGGGGAACACCTCAGTTACTGTGCCGCAATACAAAGAAAAAAAGGAGAGAAAAATAAAACAACTGGTGAAAGCTGGCTGAGCTACCGGTAACGGATGGGCATCGTTCCGGTAAGCTACCAGCCGGCTGCTGTGCACCCAAAAAAATTATTATGCAAAATTATATAAGGCTACGTAATGAGATCGTGGTTGGAGGGGGAGGCTAAGAGGGATGGGATGGGACAAAGAAACTCACAGCACGAACGCCACTGAGGTCGGCTCCTAGTCATATCAGCAAGTGTGTCCAACCAAACGTGTTCATCGTCTTTCGGACACCAACCAGGGAGCCGAGACGCTCCAACAGAGGCCAGCTCAGAAGTGAGGGCCTTCATTCCCCTCGACCGTCATCCGTTGGCCACCCCTCATCTTCTTCCATCCACACCCCCGGCGCGCAAACAACACACGTCACGGAAGTCGTTGTGCTGGCATGCGTAACACGTGGCCGAGCCATCAGAGCCTGGTGCGCGAAATAACAGTGCTGAGAGGTTCATTTCCTTTTCCTGTGCCATAAACAAGGCGTCGAACACGCTCGTTGCTCACGCGGTGTTCCCACCAAATGTGAGCTAAATTACGAAGGCACCGGTGGTCGAGCGTAGCTAGCCTCTTCAGGTCCGCTGCTTTAAGCGGACAGGTTTCACAACTGTACAATAGGGTCGAACGTACTGCTGCATTGTACACTCTACCCTTCAGGGCAAGAGTGATGTCGCGCCGGCGCCACAAGTAGCGAAGGTTAGCAAAAGCGCCTCGAGCTTTGGCTATACGGTTCGTGATCACATCTTCAATCCCACGGGCCCTGAAACAACTACCCAGGTAGTTGAATTTTTAAACGACTTCTAGCTGATCCCACCAAGGGTCAGCTTAGGAGGTGGTCCAGGCGAATCATGGAGGAACGCTTTGCATTTCGCAGGTGCAAAGCGAAGCCCGCAGCGACGGACAGCAAGTGCTAATCTGCCCAGTGCCGCTTGGCACGTTTGTGAGCGGTCACAGATCAGGGCAATATCATCAGCATACTCCAAGTCAAGAAGTCGTGGAGCAGATCCACACCTTCTAAGTCGTGTGCTGTAAACACGATTTCCATGACTTCGTCAATAGCGAAGTTGAAGAGGACAGGTGACAACGGGCATCCTTGTCTCACACCGCTGGAGATAGTAAAGGGCGACAACAGCTTGCCGTAAGTCCCCACTCTGCCCGAGCTACGCGCATATAATGCTCAGATAATATTTACATATTTCTCAGGTACACCTTTCCTGAGTAGACAGTCCCAAAGTTCATGTCTGTCCACCGAATCGAATGCACCTTTGATATCGAGGAACACGACAACGGTGGGCCGCCAATATATGTGACGGTGCCCCAACAACTGACGCAAAGTAAAGATGTGGTCAAGGCAGCCACGAACACGACGAAATCCGGCTTGCTCTTCACGAATATGGCTTTCACGAGTGCCAGTCAGTCAGTGAAGGGTGACAGACGCAAACAATTTGGAGGCGATGGAGATCAGACTGATTCCTCTATGGTTGCCGCATTCCGATCCTAAGCCACCCTTAAAAATTGGGAATATGACGGATCGGCTCCAGTCGGCTGAGACAATTTCCTTCTCCCACAGTTCCACTAGTAACTCGTGTAAATCATCCACAAGTGCAGGTCCCCCGAATTTGAAGAGGGCTGGAAGAAGGTCAACAGGTCTCGCGGCTTTATTTAACTTCAACAGTTTGATCTTATGTTCGACTTCTGAGCGAGAGGGTGGATCCAAAGGAACAGCCCACGGAGCAGGGCGATCACTGGTCGGCGAGAAATCTAACAATTCCGACCGATTTAATTGCCTTTCAAAGTGCTCAGCCCAACGTTCCAGGCATTTTGCTAAGTTGTGGATAGGCTGTCCACTCTCGTCACGTATAGTTTCACTAACACCAGGTCTCCTGCTGCCCGTTTCCCGTATAAGACGGAATAACTCACGATGGTGACCAAGGGCAGCGGCCATTTCCATCTCTGTTGCACGACCAGACCACCAGGATTCGCGGTCTCTCTTCAGGCTAGCACGGAGTTTTGCCCGGAGCTCTTTGTGAGTTTCGTTGTGTTCGCTTCCAGCCGGAATATGCCGACGAGCATCGATAAGTTCCAAAGACTGTGAAGAGACCCAATGTTCATGTTGGCGATTAGACATACCACATGAGGATTTGCCTGCTGCTAGTAAGGCCTGTTGCATATGAGACCAGTGAGCTTCAATTGCATCCAGTAAGCGTTTATCCAACTCGGATGACAGCATAATTTGATAGGCGTTCAGAACAGCTGGCTTCACCAATCTGCCGGTGTCAATGCGCTCACAACATCGTCGCGGGCGTCAGCCAAAGCGCATCCGCAGGTCAGCACATACAAATGCGTGATTGGTGTCAACACCTGTGCTCCAAATCGAGCGACAGTCCTGGACGCAGCCTCTCCAGCGGTAACTTATCGCAATGTGACCGATTTACGTCCATAGCTGGTTCGAGGCTGGTGGGCGCCAAGTCACCCTCCGGTGGGTGCTGTGTCGGAAATTAGTGCTCGCAAGAAATAAGCGAGCATCCTCACACAAAGGAAGTAACCGCTCACCGTTTTCATTACGGGAGCCTATACCATGTTGGCCGCCCAGATGCAGCTCATCTGTGGATAATTTTCCAACTTCAGCGTTCAGATCCCCAGCCAGCACTACAGTGTCCGAGCTTCTTCTGTGGGGAAGGAGTTGGTTCAGTTGGCGATAGAAGTCGCCTTTTACCGAGTCATCGCTACAGTTTGTCGGTGCATAGGCAGCGATAACGAATAGACACCTGTTAGTCTCACGCGACTTTGAAGTTTTGAACGAGCCAGCCAATCGGACCGCACACATCCGGCTGCTGATTGGAATCCAATAAACCAGAGCAGCTTCAGCCCGGGGACTCAGGGCAATACCAACACTGGATTGGCCGGTGCTCGAAGCTGCATCGTCACCGGATGAGAAAGTGTTGCTAGTGCCACCTGAAAGGGATCGCAGCGTGAGCACAGAGCTCGAGTCTTGCAGGCGGGTCTCCGATAAGCAGCAGATATCGATCGAGAGGGTCTCCAATGTTCGGGCAAGTGCTGCCTGTTGACCGATCTGAAGCAATGTGCGAGCATTGAAACATGCCAGTCTGAAGGAGGATCGAGGGCTCCCAATGGAAGCCGATGAACTGGAATGGGCCGCTTGCTTGGACATGGGCCTGTTGACAGTGCAGGAATGACGCTCTGCGTTCACCTGTGAGTTGAAACTAAAAGACAAGCGACTATTGAAGCAAGGTGGGGGAGGGCCGAGAATTGGGGGGTTGAAAACAGGGGGGATAAAAGTAAAGCTGGAACGGGACGATAAGGGTGAAAAAGCGCAAGAAGGGGAATAAGAAGATGGGAAGGCTTGAGCAGTAGCATCCAAACCCCTATCCACCTGCTCGATGCAGCAGATAGGGCACCGTTGATTATCCTCTGCGGTGGCCAGAGCATCAGAAAATTGTTTGGGGAAGGATTCATTGTATTGCGTGGGCAGGATACTGTCAGGTTGCCCAGGCCTAGACAGGAGAGTGATTAGGGTTCTCAACCAAAGCCTTTGGTTCAAAAACCTGACCGCAAGGCAGCGGGCTTGGCACTGGACTACAAGGAGTTCGTTTTAAGGAATAAGGAGCCACCCTCATTTCAACCCCCAACCTGGAGGACCAGGAGGCTGAGTTCGTCTGGCCTCTAACCATTGACCAATCTGGTATGAGTGGCTCTGAAGGTGCAAAAGCACCACCCAGTATAGCTCAATGGATCACTGAAGCACACAAACCATCGCACCACGTTAAGGTCCAGCCTCATTGCGATGGACATTAGCATATAGTTGGCGGCATCCGGTTTCGGATTTGCCTGTCACTGTGGCAAGCCACAGGACACCTACGCCTACAGAGGAACCATGGTTGGCTTGCGCTGCACCACGCACACCTCCAACCACACACCCCATAGCCAGTGTAAACTCGAAGGAATAAGACCGGGAGACATGTGGCCGGGAGCCACGTTTCATCCACCGAGCCGGCTCACACTCCTTCACAGGCAAACACAAGCACGCTGTATTTGGGGAATCAATCGCACACAAGGCGGTGGCTGGACCGTAGTCTGCTCCACACTGAGTGCATGGAACAGCTCTTTGATCCTAACACAGCCACAAGGACCATGCACCCCGTCCCTTCCAGCAACGACCAACTGTTTTCAGGCGCCTGTATGGATGAGCTAGTGGGTAATAGACAGGTAGGCCACACCGGGGATATCAAACAACAGCCAATCACTTGAAATGACAAGATGAAATAAAATAAATCGGATAATGCATACAGATGTGCTGGCATAACTCTCCTATAAATGAGCATATGAAATAAATTAGTTGCCAAAATTCCGCCATATTTTCAAGACGTCAGGAAATATAATGTTAGAAAATGTCACAATCGCGTAAAGGTTACTATAATTAACTACAATTAGCTGAATCGATGTGTGCAAGTTTATGGAATATAGTTCACGTAGAAAATAATGAGACAATACAACAAACCCACCACCTGAAATAAAGAGACAGCATGTAAGCACGCGGTTAGTAAATCGGATGCAGCGTACCAATAAAAGTGTCGCCGGTTCTGCCTAAGTTCTCTGCAGGACCCGTCGTCGCTTCGGTGGTGGCGCCGATTGGCCTCGTTCATGGCTCACTAAGCCTGCCTGATTCAGGCACTCGCGACCGCATGTGCTACAGCACCATACGCTCGATGTCGATGGAGTACAACCCATCAGCGCCTGCCGCTCCCGCACTTGACGCTTCTTCTCTGCATGCCTGAGGACTTTCTCCTGCACCTTGACAACGCCCTACGTGATCAGAAAGCGCCATTCCTGCCGATCAACCTCCTTTGATTTCCATGATCTGCAATTAAGATTAGAACGTGATAAGCGCAATTCGAACATGTCCTGAGAACGTAACTTCGGTTTCCTCACATGCCGCTTCCCCACATTCACCTGACGACATAACAGCTGCTTCGGTATCCGCGTCGAATTCATACCACACACATGACCGAGCCACCTCAAATGTCTCAGGAAAAGTATGCAGTCCATCGCATACATTCCACTTCGGCGTAACAATTCCGTGCCTGTAATTCGGTCGCACCGACCGATGCGCAGAATCCGTCACAGACACTGTTAGTGGAACCGCTCGAGATATCGCACATCCCGCTGGCACATAGCCCACGTTTCACTGCTTTATAGAAGGACGGACAGCACCATGGATTTGTACACCATCAGTTCCGTGCCAAAGATAAGCTGATTTTTGTTCCACACTCGGTACTGAAGCTTCCCGAATGCTCCCGCAACCTTTGATACTCGGACACGCAGCTCACTGTGTATCTGTTGCTCAGTCGACATCACACTCCCAAAGTGGCAGAAGCGGAAAGTTGTTTCCAATACTTCAGCAGCAATGCTTATTCGCGGCACCATTGAAGATTGCGTCTTCTGCGAAGGCTGAAAGTGATAGATAGTTTTGCTTGTGTTGAACGTGTGCCGGAATTTGGCCGCTGTCGAAGCCAGAGCACTAGTCATGTGCTGCAACTCATCCGCGCACAAAAGCCGGTGGCTGGACCGTAGTGCGTACCACACTGAGTGCCTGGAACCACTCCTTGATCCTAACACAGTCACAAGGACCGGGCACCCCGTCCCCTCCAGCAACGACCAACTGCCTCCTGGAGCCTGTATGGACGATGTAGTGAGTAATAGACAGGTAGGCACCTTGTCAACATGCACATCAAGCGCAGCCACACCGGGGATATCAAGCCAACCAGTTAAAGACGACAATATCAAATAAACAAATCGAATAATGCATACAGATACGGTGACGTAACTCTTCAATATTACACGCTTGCCAACATTAGCACAGTGAGCACCCGCAGTGTAATGAATGTTGTTAGGGATACCGTTGCCTACTTATGAGTAGTCGAGTTTACATCGCAAACCAGACAGTGAGCACTAAGTAAAAGGTACAAATGCGAAGATTTCAGTAGCCATACAGATCCAAATTCTGCTATGAACCCACCGAGTAAGAAAGTTGGAATGGGACTGTGGAGTGAATAAACAATCGCCTAGCACCATTCCAAGTTCAAATATGGATATCCTAAAATACGATAGGGAACAAGTCAACTATATTTACAATAAAACCAAGTATACCGGTAAAGCGTGATGAGGATGTAGGCGTGTCATGGGTTTTCCGTACAAACTTTTCTATAACACCGCGCTTTCGAGAATTAAAACTTATAAGCAAAGCAGAGGTAAATAATTGAATGATTCCGTCTTGCAGAGAAATGAAATTGCAATACTTACCAGGGACCTGAGTGTTGGATGTAAGTATACTTCATGAGAGCAGAGAAAGCCGTTTTCGCAAGTATGGCTATCACGAATCAGAACATCGTACGCATTTCCATCCTTATAAGCCAGAAGAGTCCCACCGAATTCTGGGTGGTATGTTTGAAAAAATGCGAAATGAATAGTGATATCTGAATACTTGTGATATGAACTCAAATACACGCACTTTTGAAGCACCTGTAAACATCTTCGATGGTAGAAATATCTAAAAACAATTTTTCGAATTCAAATTTGTCATGGAAAATAAGTGGAAAGGTTGGAGAGACCAAACTGGTCAGTTGGGTTGTTCCAAATAAGCGGACAGCAGCATACACACAGTCGCTGTCATTTAAGTATGTTTCAGGATAGCAAATCTAAAGAAAATCGTGGACGTAAAATTGCTGACTAACGGATTTAATCTGGACCTCGACTCGGCAATTATACGCGGACATGTCCCAATTTTTCAGCGTACCGTTGTCTCAGATGATGTGGACTGGCTCAATGACAATAGAGGAGTGTGTATCCTTAAGACAGTAGTGAGTGTCAAAGCTTCTAATGCAGCTGTACAAACGAAGATGGAGGGTAGTGAGGCATATATATATCGTACAGAATCAATCAATTTACAAGTGAGCCGATTTCAAGCAAAATAAAAATCCGTGGAGTAGTCCTTCTTCAATGGATTGTTAAAGTTGGAGCTGACAGTTTTCTCAGAAATGTCATCATCATCATCCTCATAATTATACACGTTAGCTAGAGATGGGAAACATCTCAGCTACTGTGCCGCAATACATAAAAGAAAAAAAGGGAAAAATTGCAACAGGTGCAAGACATTTGAGCTACCGGTAACGGATGGTCATCGTTCCGGTAAGCTACCAGCCGACTGCTATGCAGCAAAAAAGTTAATAGGCAAGATTATATTAGGCTAAGAAGTGAGATCACGGTTGGAGGGGAGGCTAAGAAGCATGGTGTGGGGCAAAAGAACTTACAGCACGAACGTCATTGAGATCTGCTCTTAGCTATGTCAGCGAGGTTCCTAGCCATGTCAGAAATGTAGTTGCGACTTAAAAGCCACCTGGTTCACAATTTGGTCCATCACCAGCAGTGATTTATGCTGGACTCCGAATTACTGTTGCTATCTAACCTTTGAGTGAATAGAGGCTGTCAAAAACCTTGATATCAAGAAAGTTACAAGCATCTTCTGGAGAACTACATGTGTTGTTTAATTAATCGGAGGAACTGGTAATAGATGCTTCTGAAAAAGCAACCTAAGGTATTCAACTTCATCAACTCGTCACTATATGGCTCTTATATAAGTTCTTCTCGTCTCACTTTAGTTTATTTGTAGCCTGAGAATGCTGTGCCAAAGTTATAGATCTGTGTCGAGCAAGGAATCCTTTGTTCATTGAATTTTCCAGTCTTTGACAGTAAAACACGTTGTCCTCATTTGCTTGTGCTGTTGGCTTACGACATTTTCGTTAAAGCCCTAGAGGGAGTTCGGTGTTCTTAGAGGGACGTTTGATGCAATTTGGAGTGGGATCCTGGTTCTACCTTCTACAAGCCGTTCGCAGCAGTGTTCCATAGTAATTAGTTTTCCACTCGGCATTGTTTTAACTGAATATTTACGAACTTCAAAAGGTACTCAAGGTGCAGCCCCTTATTTTAGATGATTAAAAATTCAGGAGCAGGTTCATTTATTCTTCTGGTTCGGTGGCCTTGGAATAGAATCATAGGAAGCTTTGGTAGCAGTGCTCTTTGCGGCAGTTTTTTAAAATCTTGCCATCATCATCATTATACACGTTAGCTGCAGGTGAAAAACACCTTAGCTATTGTGTCGCAATACAAAAACAAGAAGAAGGAAAACAACAGAGGCACGACGACTGAGTCCCCAGTAACGGATGGACATAGTTCCGGAGACCTGACTGCCGGCTATCGTGCCGCAAGAAGAGAGGTATATTATGACTAACAAATGAGATCGTGATTGGAGGGAGAGGCTAAGCAGGAAGGGGATGGACAAAGGAACTCACAACACAAACGCCATTGGGGCCGGCTCAAAGCCATATCAGCAAGTGTGCCTAATCAAACGTGTTCATCGTCCTTAGGATCCCAGCTAGCCAGTCGGGAAGCCCCAACTGACGCCAGCTGCGAAGTGAGGGCTTTAATTTCTCTCGAGCAAGTCATCGCTTGGCCTCCCCTCCTCTTCCAATCGCACCCCGGCGCGCAAACAATGCACGTCGCGGGAGTCGGTGTGCTGGTATGCGCAACACGTGGCCCAGCCATCAGAGCATCGTGAGTGATATAGTGGTGTTGAGCGTTTCACTCGCTCTTCCTGCACCAAATACGCGACGCCGACCACATTCATTGTTCACGCAGTGCTTCCATCAGACATGGGCAAAGTTGCGAAGGCAGTGATGATCGAATGTGGCTAGCCACTTTACGTCTGTCGACCTGAGGGGCCAAGTTTCACAACCGTATAAGAGGGTTGCCAGGTGTTCGGTCATGTACATGGGACGGAATGCGCTATCAACGCGCTACTCCATTACCGGGAATGAACCATCGCAACTGCCCCATCACATAGACTTGGACATTTTACTGTCATCCGGTGCGTAGTAAAAGATCGCTACCTGCATGTGCTCCTTCCTATTAAAGTCGGCTCAATGCCAATCCCTGAAGAAGCAATTCTAGTAATGTATGTTGACGACATCGACTTTTGCATAATTCATTTAACCAGCGCTTGATCAGTCAGTTTGCAAGAACTTAATTATTTCAAGGTTTGGTTTAAACCTAATAATCTGTCTCTTAATGCATCAGAGTGTAGTTTGTGCTTATTTCGCTACACAGAAGAGCCAGATGCAGACAGCTCCTCACGCAGTGTCCAAAGATCCATATGGATGGCGATGAATTACGCTCCTCTAGATCAGTGGTCTATTTAGAGATGGCACTGAATTATGATTAAGCTTGGACTCTTCCGGTAAATGAAACATTCATAAAACTCAAAAGTCTTTCGTTGTACGCCCGTTGGTTGTGAGCCTCCTCTGTCCCTGATGATTTGATATTTCTTTTTGTCAATGTCTGTGCCTTTTTCCAACGTATGTATTCCACCCTTGTAATTTTTTCACATCTTCAAAATAATTACTTTAAGTTTATTGTCAAGTCAATAAGGTCTTTATCCAGATATAGTGGCGTTTTTATACCTACTTTTGCCCACATACTACTGTTTACACACAAATTTTATTCTAAGTATATAACTTCAAAAATACTGGCCGACAGAAATCATGCCCCCCATAACGCTCTAGCTGCATTTCTGTAAAGTATATCTACTAGGTAGAAGTACAAGTTGATATATGCCCACACACAAGCCTACCGCTCGTCGGTCATCCGTTAACTTTCGCGTTTTCTGCGAGACCACAATTCTGTCGTTCTGAGACAGACCAGCCGATTCACAATATGATGACGTTCCTGTCTAACCTTAATTAAACCGCTTTACCTGGTGTTCTATCCCCTTTGCTTTAGTTTGGTACATTACTGAGAACTTGTGTGTTGTAGCCGAATATTTACCTGCCGAGGGGCATAAAGTAATTTCTTAACTTCAGTTATGAGCTGCAAGCTGTTCGGGATAATAGCGAGAGGAATGTTGTTAGCTTGTTTTCCGTCTTCGTCAGACCATGCTTAGTATACTGCATGCACGCTTGTTCCACACAATCGTTCCACAACAGGATAAGAATTGAGCTAGCTTCGAGAATTGGCACTAAGACGGTGCACGGGTTAAGGGATCTGTCACATCCATATAAGCTGCTAAGGATGAAAATGTTGTCGTTACACTGTAGGCGTCTTTGTGGCGACCGTATATTAAGCAAGCATTTTGACTGGTCAGGTTACCCTGGTCTATCTCGACCGTTTCCACCTGTTTGGGTGCCAACTCATCGAGGTCACTCACCGAAGCCGCATAAGACCCCATCTGAACACGCTACCCAAAGAAGTGACAGCAGCGCCAACCGTAGGGTTTGAAAATGAACTAGAAATTTTGTACTTGTTATGTACTTGCATCTAACCAGTTTTCGGTACATTTTCCCACCCTTTGGCTTTTGTTTTTATTTCACGTGGACGGAGCAGCGAGGCCTACTGGTGTACGCCACATGAGCATCCATCGGTCAGGCGCAATGTGATTCCAGCATATTGGTGGATTTGACTCATCTCGGCTTCAGAGAGATTCGATGAACTCTATCCCGATTCAACCGTATGCTCAAAATTTTCTACTGTTCCGGTCCCACATGCACCCGAATTTGAAAAAAAGTAGAAGCAAAAGATAAATATAGTAGCAATCAACCAAGAAAACGTTAACAAATTGAAAACGGATGATAAGCGCCGAGAGGGAGAGTTTGCCCCTGTTGTAGTCAATCATAGGGCGACCCTCCAAAACGCTTAAGAGTAAGGTATTAATGAGGCTGGCCTTGATTGCAATTGTCATTTTGTTATACCCTTTGGCTTTATGCTTATAGGTTTTTTTAAAAAAAATCCCGGTCCAAAATAAGTCATGGAGTCGAGTTCCGGTATTAGAAGACGAATGAAGTCGTACACAACGAATTATATTTAAGCGTGAAACAAAGATCTGAAAGCATGAAGCGGAGAGACGTGAGTATCAGCACAGGGACTCAGTGAACAGAGAAGCGCGAACAGACGTAAACTCATAGTGAGGAATACTAACTAAGGCATACGGGTACACAACCTCGAATAATACGACTGTACGAAAGGAAGCGAATTATTTTTCAGGTCGCTACATGTTGGCGACCCGAACTGGCATTGACGGTAATTTGAACTTTTGAGTGTGCCCTAGCTGCGAGGTATGGCTTTCAATCAACGAGCTGGGAACAGAAATTGCAAGATTTGTGTGCAAAATTTCAGTTGGTCCAAATCACTTTAAATCACTATTTTCCCAGATTATGTTGTATCCACTACCGAGTACTTAACAAACGTTGTCCATAGTTTTCTGTGCTTAGCCTCTGGCTACTTTCTAATAGATTTGTGTTTGGTATTCTGTATTGCTCTCCGTTTTTACCAATTACCGTTTCAGCTGCTTGCTCCACAGGTAAAGGGACACCGATTTTATGTTTTGCTGCTTATGCCACATTGTTTTTAAGTGCCATGCTAGGTTCACAGAATACTGGTACTATTTTAATTTTGACCGCGTTAGCCTCTTAGTCTACCGCCTTGTCTGGCAACATGGGTTACGCAAATCTCGTGACGCTCAATCCTTGTGGCATGCAACGAGATGTATGCAACCGTGGTACTATGAGACTACCGGCTTGAACACTGACCAAAGCGCAACGCTGTCGACAAGCGATAGCTTGCTCTTCAGTTGTGTTGAGTACCGTAGCCATCGGCCTGGGCGTCCTGTTGTAGCAGATGAGGTATCAAGCAATGTCCAGCTGAAAAACGAGAAAGTATGGTTGCTTTTATTTACATAGACCAAAAGTGGACTTATCCATTAAAACGCTTGGGGCCTCCAACGATGTCAGCCCAGTTGTTAAGGATATCCGGTGTACTTACCTACCGTCTGTAATAACCCGCCTAGGATGACTACTGCTATGTCAAGCCCACTTTTTACCAAAATTAACAAGGCTATTTCTAACGGGGCATTCAAGTACATCCAAAGAGATAAAAAATTTAGGGCTCCTGTGCCCATCAAAAACAGGCAGAAGAAGG